GATGAGAACATTGCAGGTGGTTTTGGAAGCTGACAACATATCATTCGAATGACATTTGATTTATCTAGTAAAATGTTGCTGGAAAAATTACTTTTACAACTTCTTGTAATTCTTCACACCTCTAAAGTCACAACAGAATTCTAAAAGGCCCTTCGCTCATTGTATTAGTCATATCTTTTGAATTTCCAACATTTTGAACATTACTTTGAGTATCTTTGCTCCTAGCTCTGCATAAATAGCATTCTCTTGTTCACGTGGAGGAATTCAGAGGCATTTTAAAAGTGCCATCTCCCGTCAATGCCACCATTCTTATAACAGAATCTAAACTATCTATTCTAATTATAGGAGATGATGGTAAGCAATTTGTGACATTATTTTATTTTATTAACACACATACACCATCCTTAAGAATTTAACCTCTTCTTTTGGATTTACATGGGGGGGGGGAAATAACTGAAAACAAGTTTAAAATATCTATATTGGCCTGAGCCCACTGAAGCCAACTTAAGCAAATAGAAGTCACATGGATATTGTGCATTTTTATTTCCACCAAAACATGATAGCAGTGGAAATTTTGCAGACTTTGCTAAGTGTTCCTAGCTGTCATACAATAGCTTTAATTTTTGATTTATCCACAGCATTCTGCATATCGCTGCTGAACCTGTCATCACGTTGTCATTGCTTCCTTTTCCTGAACTACTGTTGCATTCTTCTTAGATGTGTGCTGTTGGCTGAGATATATAATAGGTAAAAATAAATCTACTTTGTTAAATATAGTTTCCAGAAATGAGAACTGTGCAATAAAACCGGCATAAGATATCATGTTCCATTGCTCTAATTTCAACCGTGCAGGTTTTTGTTTTCTTTGTGATGCCTGGAAAAATGTGAAGATACAGACGAATTTCTGAAAAGAGAAGAAGGCACTTGAGTTCTGTGTAGGCCCGTGTTTAGTGTTAACAGTGGCACTGGTGTGTGTTTTGGTGTATTATTTCCCCCTCTTTTTTTCTGATACAATTTCTTTGCTCTGTACAAAATGGCAGTAAAATTGACGGAAGGCATGATTAACAGAGCAAAGAGCATGGATGGCAAGATAGAAAAAGGCTGAGGATTGCCTGCCTGGCAAAGAGAGAGAGAGAGAGAGAGAGAGAGAGAGAGAGAGAGAGAGAGAGAGAGAGAGAGAAAATGCTTGGATGTGCATAGGAATGCTGCCCTGCAGTGAAATGCAACTATCTTTAAAACATTAAAAAGCTGGAATGAAAAATCAAAGGTGAAGTAAAAGGAATTGGCTTCTGCCTGGCAAAGCCACCAGATAGACCACAGGAAGTGGCTCACATGATAAACCAGGAGGCAACTGTAAGCTCCTCTGACAATGTGCCCGAAGGTTTCTGCCAAAAAGACAGATGCCATTGCTGGAAAACTCTGCCATCATTGGGCATATGGACTCAATGCTTTCCACTTAAAGAAGGGAGGAGGAGGAGCAGGAGGAGCAGGAGGAGGAGGAGGAGGAGGAGGAGGAGGAGGAGGAGGAGATAACAGAGATCCATCCTCATCTGAATCATTACATTTGAATGTTGTTTCATTTTAAAGGCGAACTCTTCAACAAAATGCTGTCACCTCCTTGCCAGATTCATTGTTGGAGTTAGAACCAGGATCCTATTTGAGAGTGGATTATTCAGAGCTATGTACTGTACCAAATGCACCATGGGTTTCCTCTCCCTTCCTAGATCCTAACCTTTTCAGTATCAATGAATCAATATCCTACTGCTTCTTTGTCATACTTTTGATTTGTCCCCCTGACATGTGACCACATTTTATTGATAGTCCCTTGTGCATGCAACTGGAACATTTCTCAGTCCTGAATCAGTAGCTCAGTGGCGAACTTTAGAGCTCGAGGGAATTTTTTTCAAAAGGTGGGCACATTTTATAAACCCCCTTAGAAGCAAGTTTTCTCCCTTGGATCAGAATCCAGAGTTAACAGGATGCCAGGACAGGAGAGTCAAATAACCTTATTTAGCTTACACCCAGAATCTTGGAAGCCAGAGATCTTTTCAGTTTACAGGACATTCATCTGTTGGATTTTAGCCAGCTGTAAGAAATTAAAAGGGGGGACCTTTTAGAGTACACCCTCTTGATTTTTCATAGTATTCTAAGAACTGGAAATTTACAAATCACAAAATTGCCGGAATGGAAGAAATTGAAACCTTCTTTGAATTGCTCAAATCCATGACTTACAAATGCTGGCACACTTCTGCTTATATGAGCTACAATCAAAGAAGATGGAAAAACACAAAACATAGTAAAATGTTTAAAACCCAGGAAAATACTAGCTAGATATGGATCAACAAGAAATGGGATTTCTTGAACGCTTAAAAAAATAACATACATATAAAGTATTATTACAACTTTTAATTGATTTCTTCCTTCTCAGATTGCTCCTCCCCCCATATTTCTTAATACAATAAGTATGGCTTACAAATTGCAAGGTCACATTGGGATTGTCTGCCTAATGTTCACAATCCTGTAAAAGTCAAAGTATTGCTTCTGACAGAAACAGCAACATACTGTAAGGAATGCATAAAAGAAGGCAGACCTTAAAGCATCAAACTGCCAAGTTTTCAACATAAAGGTTGCACCAACACCTTGAACTGAACCCAGAAAACAAATCAACGGTTTGTAACACAGACATACCTTGATCAAAATGCCTCCTTCTCACCAGCAATCATACTGCTCCATTTCATACCCATTGTAATTTTCAGACATTTTTCAAGGATAGCACTACTTAGTGTGTATTACAGCATTCTAATCAGGGGACTAAAGCATGAATGACTGGTAGATGGTCATAGCTTAGCAATAAAATATGGCAAACTAATTAGTAGGTACTTCCTAAGTTTTTAGAAAGCTGAGTATCTTTTTTTGTAGCTCTTGGTTATTCAAAAGGCTGCAACAACAACATACATTTCTTGCCTGATGAAACCCAATTTGGTTCATTCTCATTTTTAACAAATCTGAGAAGCGATAACAAGGACATTATCAATAAATTATATTACACCAGTAACATAGTAACTAAGCAAAAAAATAAGTTCTGATGAAAGGGCACAATGGCAAGCCTTTCTTAAGGCTAAATTCAATAGTAGTTATTTTTAATAATTAAAAAAAGCAAAAGAGATGAAATAAGATCTGATTTGTCCAAGAAAGAGAAAGCAACACATTTCTAATAACAGCTATTGATGCAAGTCAGGTCTTAATTATCTCACTTGTTTTATTTCAGATGAAATTAGTAGCTGTATCTTTGATTTTTTTTTCCTGTCATATAAATCAAACAACTCAGTCTAGATGGGGATCCTTATATTGGAAGGGCTTTAATGTTTTGGTTCTTGCTGTGGCCCAGTTGGAATTAGTTTCAAGAGATCACTTCTGGTAGTGTAAATAGCAGGCCAAAAATAGTTAATTTGGAACAGGATCCTCAGGAGGTCAAACTATAAATCAGTGGTTTTTAAAGTGGGGATAATTTGGGGCATATCCCTGGGGGTAATGGAGCAATTTGTAATTGCTTGTTTGTGAGTCAAGGATCCAATCTGGAACTGCTATCTTGCAGGTGCTGGAGTAAAACAACAGAATCTGTCTTTGTGAGGGTAATGACATTATTTGATCTGGGGAAAAGCTGGGATAAATTGATGGGAGCTCATTCTGTCATGTCGCTCACTCTCAGGTTTTGAACTGCTGAGTTGTTGATCAATGGTCATTTGACTTAGTGCCCTAACCACATGAATCATCACAGCCCCTGGCTAGGGATACAAAGCTAGGGACACAAGTGAAGCCTTGAATGTGAATGTGGCTTCACTTGTATCCCCTGGTTAAGGATATGAGTGAAACCACATTCAAGATATGTTCCACCTCTTGTATAATGTGTGTGTGTGTGTGTGTGTGTGTGTGTGTATGTTTTCGTAGATTTTCATAGGTATAGGTATGCAGGTCTTGGTGTATTTGGGTCTTTTCCCATGTACGATTGGGAGTATCTTGGTGACATTTCAATGAGGTCCCACTCGCCATCTTCAGGCTGGGGTCTTTGGCTTCGTGCTTGTGCGAGCAAAGTGTGATCAGAGCTGCCGTCTCTCTATAAATATTGGTGGGGGTGTGTAGAGTGCTGGCTTAGTTGCTGTAGGAGGGTTGGTTGGCTGTGTTGGAGTTATTGTTTGTGGATTGTTTGACTGTTTCATAACATCCTGAGTAGCTGAGGTGCTGGCTGTGTGACCATTAGTCTTTTGTGTTGTAACAACCCGGGTAATGGGTTGTGTTACAACATGAAAGACTAATGGTCACACAGCCAGCACCTCAGCTACTCAGGATGTTACGAAACAGCTGAACAATCCACAAACAATAACTCCAACACAGCCAACCAACCCTCCTACAGCAATTAAGCCAGCACTCTACACACCCCCACCAATATTTATAGAGAGACGGCAGCTCCAATCACACTTTGCTCGCGCAAGCACAAAGCCGAAGACCCCAGCCTGAAGATGATGAGTGGGACCTCATCAAAACGTGGTCAAGATACTCTCAATCTTACACAGGAAAAGACCCGAATACGCCAAGACCTGCATACCTATACCCATGAAAATCTACGAATATATATACACATACACACATACATACATGTATTAAAAGACAATGTTTTACTGTCATATTCTCTATATACTATACCCAACAAAGATGAGGCTAATGAAGATGGCAGTTCTGGCTGCATTTGTCCTTTCCTATGCCAAAATTAGCATAGACTAATATTAAATATGCTTTTCCATTTAATTTCCTTATGTCTGATATCTAGCATGGGACAATCTTTAAAAATGTAACATATTCCACACAAGCAGCTTGAAAGGACCTGATTATGTACTGGAAAGGTTCAGCATTGAAGGAATACAGCACGTTACTGAAAACCAGTCTGCCATTTTTGTTTCTAATTCCCATTTTCTTCTTTAAAGTTTCACAGCTTTTTCACTTACTTTTGCAGATGTGCAAATAGTGTTTTCATGGTGTCATGATTTGGCCTGGGCAATTTCTGAACAAGGTCCTTTATGGCTTTCACTTGGCTATCATATTCTTGGATTTCTGAAAGAAGTAAAGAGTTATGGGTGTTACAATAGTATCTGACTAGAGCAGTGGTTCTCAACCTGTGGGTCGGGACCCCATTTGGGGTCAAACAACCATTTCACGGGGGTCACCAAACAATGCAGTCCGCCATTTTCCCCCCCTTTTCCTTAGCTGTGCTATTCCCTTTTATTCTATTGGCTTTTGAAAGCCAATAGAATAGACTGTCTTGAATAGAGTCTAATTCTATTGGCTTTCAAAAGCCAACAGGAATTGTCCAGGCTGTCTCTGCCCTGCTCAGCCGGCCAAAAGTCCCATTCTGCAAATGGTGCTGCACCAGTTGAGTAGTCCTCGACTTACGACCGGTTGGGGGTCGCGGCATTAAAAAGGTTGAGAACCACTGGACTAGAGCGTTGCTGCTACCATGGTAAAAACAAACAAATGTGATCTGGAAGCATGGTTATAGCTGAAGTGCCCCCTGTTTTAAGCATTATTTTCCAATAGAGTGTGTTCACATTTTCATACATGACACAATGAGATTTTTAGGTCTGCTGATTCATTATAGCCTCCTGAAGCTCCTGTCCATCAGGGTACCCCCAGTTTAGACAATGGGGATTCTCAAATGTTGTTGGAGATGCAACAGTGTATTGTGGCTTAGAATGATGACACTATCTCTGATAAAGTGAGCTGAGATCCATGAAAGCTGAGGCATTATCATGGGGTGCAATTAATGTTATGAATGTGGTTGTTTTTGCTATAGATGACACACAGAGCTGGCCTTTGTAAGATGGGTCTGAGATGGCAAAGGCCAGGGTGTGACCTGTCATGCCAGAATCTCATTTCATGAATTTCCTGAACAAATACTTTTCTAGCTCTCAATGGGCTACCATGACTTAAAGAAATGGGAATGTATTGGCTTCTGCTCTTTCATCTTTTCTGATTATGGAAGATCCAGACTATTTACAAAATATGAATAATTCCTCATATGTGGAGTTGTTGGTGCTCTATATTACCTAGTCAGGCAATGAAATGTCTGTCAGCAAACAGCCGAGTTCAGAGAGGACCAAGGACTCTAAAGTTCAACTCTGAGCTACATATATTCTCTTCTTTTGAAATTCCCCATCTTACAAAAATAACACACAATTCTCTATATATGTGCACAATCTAGCCATTAGGTCTTCTCTCGCCCAAAGATAATTAACAGGAAAGCATTTGATTGTATTAACAAGGACGTAATATTAAGTCATTCCCCTGCTCATTACTGACCATATTTTCTATTGAAATACAATTAAGTCATACATTCACTAAGTTTTAATTGACACATTAGACATATTTTAGCAGCTATTCATACTGCTTTGTAAGGTTTTTTTTTAACTTTGTAAGTTATATTATAGTTTATGGTGGAGAAAACTCTATGGCACCTTTCAATCCTGCCTCATAAAGGATCCTCATCAACCATGGATCCATGAGACACCAGAGGCCTTGGTCTTAAGGAACTGAGTTCATATCATTTCAGACTGCCATGTCTGATAATTTCCATAATTGAATACTATTTGATTGATAGATCAGAGAAATTACAATAACTTTCTTTTCCAAGACATTCATGTTTACATGGAAGTTTCACACAGAAGTCAAGCAAATGTGTCTTCTATATGAAGTGGTGTGGTTACTATGCAGATTCATGACCTCAGTACGATTTAGGCCAGGGAGGTTATCCTCATACCTAATAAGCATGCCCACCTTATAAGCTTTATTTCATGCTGTGTAATGATCAGTTCTTCCTTATGTTGATTTTAGTTCACATCCTCTCCCTTGCCTGGTATCCTTTCTATCATTTCATAACTGCCTTTTTGTGGAAAACAATTAGTCAGTAATGAAAGAATGTGAGATTGAGACCTATAATAGTTTTTGTGATGTGAAACTTCTTTTAATGTTGTGATAACAACACTGCTGCTGACTGGATTAGGATAAGCATATTTTCTATATGATTAATGGCTTCCAAGTCTTAAAATATGGTTTCGGAGTAAGATGTTTGCATGAGATGTTGAAGCACATATAACTGTGCTTTCATTTTGCAAAAGATAAGATAAAATAAATGTTCAAGGTCCCTGACATAGGGAAACAGTTTTACATGCTGCAGGTTTTAGATAACCTGGATCTTGTGACTGGCTTTATCTAGCATAGGTTTTTAATTTTAAAAAACATTTTCCTAATTCCTTAGTTGTACTCTGGAAATGTTTGGAGAGTTCCAGTATGGGAGAGATATTTTCCCACCACAGAAATACTGTATACCAGAATACTTTGCCTCAGAATTGGAATTAGAATATACTTATTTCACTGCATAATAATTTGGCATAAAGTTTAAAAAATGGAAAGGGAGCATATATGAAAGACAAAATATCAGGAAATAACCTGAATCTGTAAGGATGAAGTGAGGAAGACTAAGAGACAGAATGAGCAAGGCTTGCAATAAATACGAAAAATAACAAACAAACAAAAAACTTTATTGGGGTATGTGTGGATAAGTCTAGGAGACCTTTCTTGATTGGAAATTATTGCATGATGGTGATGGACAACAGGGAGAAGGCTGAATTGCTAAATTCTTATTTGACATCTGTCTTTTCCCAAAAGGAAAATTATGAACAACTGGTCAGTCTGAAGGTGTACAATAGGAGACATAAGAGAAATACAGGTCAAATAGGAAGTGATAAGAAAATACCTAGATATTCTGAATAAATTTGTTGCCTGGGGTAGATGGATTACTGGGTGCTAAAGGAATTTGCAGATGTATTCTCAAAATCACAGACTTTTATCTTTGAAAACTTCTGGACCACAAGGTGTCAATAGGTTGGGGGAAAAAAAAACCAAGATTGCCCACTGTTTAAAAAAGAGAAAAAAATTAAATCCAGGAAAATACAGACCAGTCAGCTTGGCATCAATACTGAGGAAAATCGTAGAAAAGGGAATCAAGGACTAAGTTTCAAACAACTAAAAAAGAGCAAGTCAGTTCTGAGTTGGACTTACATAACATGATGATTCCAAAAACTGTGAAGTACAAGGGAACTCCAACTGTGTCATACACACTCTTACATGACAAGATTATATTTGAGCTTACGGTTCATTTCTCCCCATATATTTCTTAGTGAAGGAATTGTCAGGCACCTTTCCTTAAATTTTAGCAAAGACAACTCATTGAAGCCTATATACACAAGGCTAATAGTCAGCACTAAATTAGCATTTGATAAAGATCAAGGGAACTCAAAGGGAGCAAGACTTGGATCTCTTGTACCAATACAAGGACTCTAAACAGATGATATGTTTAACTCTGCCCTCCAGCTCTTCCGGCCTTTCTCCTACATCATTCTAGCCTACTTTCCCAGAGGAATGGGGAGTGCTCTTCTTAGTCACACACACATGGGCCAGAAGATGGTTCTATAAGTTTTCTTTCTTCCAATCTCTCTTTTTCCTGTGATTTCCCTGAAGGCAAAGAGGCTGTAAAATCCCTATCTCTTTCCTCTACTTGGGTTACAGATAGGATTCCTGGTAAAGGCATCCTTCAGGAAGATAGCAGTGACTGAATAAATTATCAACCATCGAGGCAGGCCGGTGGGCCAGGATGTGTAAACTAAGAGAGGCTCTGGTAGCGGAGGTCTGAGGCCTCTGATCTTTCACTTTGTGGGCTTAGTCTACAATACTAAATGCATGTGACTGGCAGCTTGAAGTGACATTTGTGTTCATCATACCTTCATAGTAATTTTTGTACTATTGTGCATTGTCATTTCAGTCATCCAGGTTTCGTATGGAGATGATCTCAACCCATGGACTGAAAAAGAAATTTGGCCATATAAATACATTCCTACTCTCTCCTCAGCATGTGCTCAATGATCTAGTCATATTAATAGTTGTTAGATATAACAAGTCATGTGTATGATATAAAGTGCATAAATATTTATTATTTTGGTTCTCGGTTTCTCTCTCTGTTTTCTGGGGAGTGGGGAGAGGCAGCACAAGTGATTATCAGCTACCTTTAAAACAAACAGCACTCTTGAAATATTTTGATAGCAAAGCCACACAGTGCAAAACTAAAAAAAAAAAAAAAATAGCTACCCTCCTATAAAAGCTTTGTTATGTTTTTTTTATTACCTAAAACCATTCCATTACAAAATGTGGTAATATAAGCTTTAAAGGAGTTGAATGCATTGTCTTAGAGGGGCTCAAGCATCTAGATCAGGGGTAGGCAACCTTGGCTCTTTTATGACTCGTGGACTTCAACTCCCAGAATTCCTGAGCCAGCCATGCTGAGGGGAAAGGGAGAGGTTTCCAAGCTGAGCCATGCTGGCTCAGGAATTCTGGGAGTTGAAGTCTCCGAGTCATAAGAGAGCCAAGGTTGACTACCCCTGATCTAGATTTAGGATCAAACATTTATTTGGCAAAATGACCTCCTCCCCGGCCTAAATCTTTATAGATTGAGAAATGTGGAATAGATTCCCTATTTTGTCATTGGACATCCCACAAAAGCCCTCAAAAGATGTGAATCTGGCTGGATAATTTGAATACTCAGCAAAGTTCAAACTGACTTTTTTTTAATATGACCATTTATAGAGTTCTGGCTTTAAAATAAAAAAAGCTTCATTCCTAGCGAGTGTAGTAAAGACAGGGAATTATTTTTATTTACAACCCAAGAACAAATTTTAAAGCATTAACAATAGAACAATATATCAAATATAAAACCACAGTAAACATGTGGAGAAAGCCTGAAACAATTAGTTGTGTAAGGGAGGCATCTATGGCTATTTGGCATCCTTTTTAAAAACAGCTAAACTTTGGCCTCCTAGGAGGAGAACAATAGTTTCCTGGTCAGAATAATAGTTCAGATTTGTCGCAATTGACCTTATAAGTTCTGTTTTCCATTTAGTGTACATAATGGGTGCTCTAATACTAAACTGGATGCAGAACTGAATGCTGTATTGAACACATACAGATAGGCTTTCATAGAGGATGTTGTTATATCTGCCAGTTGT